TGGTTGGAAGCCCCTCTGCCAGTATCTGAGGTTTTCATTAACCTACACAGGCTTTAGTTCTCTCACCTGGGCCATTCCAGAAGTAGGAGCAGTGAATATCTCATTCTGAGATCACAAGAAACACAAAGCATTCAGCCTGAATGACTGAAATTACCAGGCTTAGAGTGGCTCTAACCCAGTTATTCATTTCACGTGCAAAACCTGATGTTTTCTGAAAAAATAGAATAGAAACAGGAGCACCAGTGGGAGGCATCCAACATACAACTTGATCAATGTGAATATTTGAGCACAACACTTTCCTCCTTCCCCTAGTATTTCACAGGAACAAGAAGACCGTGACTGGTCACAGTGCAGATATACTCTCTTGCTTGTGATTGACTATGTTAACAAATCTGGGTCAGATGATAACTGCTGGCATGATATGATATAATTGATATGATGTGATGTGATATGATATGATATATGATACGATACCACTGTTCCATGACAAAATCAAGACAAAACATTCATCTTAGGCATTCTGTTTTGTTTACCCTAATGAGTCCTTGAAGTTAGTCAAGTTCCACTTTAGCAGTATGTCTTCCAAAACATCTCTAAAATAATGCTAAGGTGCTTCTCTAACATCAGATAATGACAAAAAACATCAAAAAATGGTTCTGAATGCTCTTCGAATTATGAATTGCAAATGATTGCTATATTTTTGATGTAGGTGACATCAATAAATAAATAGCTGCCTGCAAAGAACAAATAGCTGTTCTCACTGACTTTTTAGAAGATCTTCTGACTATCTGTGGTTTTATTAGATCCATATTTGTTATTATAATAGCACCTGATCATCTTCTGATTGTCCTGGGACAGATGATGACAACTCCTAGATGTCAAAATTATGTAACAATTATGTCCTAATTGTTACATAATTCCTCTGGCAAAGAAAAGGAAGAATATCAATTGTACAAGAGCAAATATTTCATACTTCTTGAAGATCAATCAAGCATCCAAACCAGCTGTTCTGTTCACTCAACTCTGCTGAAGAAAGCAACCTACTGATTTTAAAACCTATGAAGAGCATTTAAAAGTGACTGGTACAGACCTCAGTTTCCCTGAGGCATGTTGAGGGGCTCCTAACACAGAGTGGAATTCAAATGAAGCTGGTCTGTACGAATACGGTCATGCAGATCGTGTACACTGCGGTGAACGATATGGCTAGAAGGGTTAGAAGTAGGACTCAGGTGTTTAGGTAGGATGTGTTTAGGCTTTCAATGATTTGGTTTTTTGAGTAGAACCCTGCTAGGAATGGTGTTCCGATTAGGGCGAGGTTGCCGATGGTGAGGCATGCAGTGGTTATGGGTAGCATCTTTTGGAGTCCTCCTATTTTTCAGATGTCTTGTTCACCATTTAGGCTGTGAATGATGGAGCCTGAGCATAGGAAGAACATGGCTTTGAAGAATGCATTGTCTAACAGGTTGTCTGGTGCATTTTTCTGGCTTGTGGCAGTTACCCAGAGCAGTCACTTCCAAGCTCTGCCTCAGATCAGGTGAATTATCAGCAACCAGATCATTGGTCTTTCACATGCACCCTGATCTGGGGTTGCTGTGCCTGACACTTCCCACAGTGAAGGGAATTGTTAAAGATTCTAAGCTAATCTAATAACTAGGAGTAACAAGTAGGACACAGAGGGATGTTTAGTGGGAGTTGTTAAGCATTTTCCTCTTGCAGTTTAAGTAAAAGGGGCTGAGCTTCTTTGTAAAACCAGATTTGCTTTTGCCTCCGCCAACAGACACATGGGCACAGGACTTTGTGGGGGCAACAGCTTCAAAGGCCTAAATGAAGGATTTAGGATGGTTCCTAAAATACTGCTAGAAAGATCTGGTGGCTAGGCCAAGGCTGTTACTTGGGAGACCAAATCTCATTGGTCTCTTGTACCCCACCATGCCCCACCTCACCGGACCACATCCTATTTCTGTGCTCAGCCACATCAGTGGAGATCCAGAAAGAGAGTTTGCTAATTCAGGGCAGTGTGGGGCTAGGGTAGAATGAGTGAAGACTGAAGACTTGTGGCTCCAAGGGAAGTGTTATCCATGAGCATTGTAGCTTGATCCTTTAAGCAGAAAGGCTTCTCTGCTCACAGGGTTGCTGCAGAAGGCTGAGTCATAGTCATAATCAGAGAGGGTGCCAGAGGTTATGTTGAGTTTCACTGTGGGGAACTGCAAGGAGTTCTTTTAATAATGGATGGTCTGGAACAAAATTAAGCCAAAAGAGGCAAATGTTATATCTGATAACCATTTATTGGTAATGAAAAGACAAAATAAAAAGGATTTACTCTACTAAAGAGAGCTAGAGAAGATGGAGCAAGAGGAAGAAAAATGGGAGAGAGGGAGAGAGAGAGAGAAGACAGAGGGAAAAAGAGGGCTTTCCTCCATCTTCTCCTAGCTGCCTCCTGGATGTGGCACAAGTGCAACCCTTGCCCTGCGTGCCTCTGACAACCATTGTTGAGGCATAACAAAACTGAATTGGCTCATCACAGGTGAACAGGGACAGCAGCCCTTGTAGCTGTCACCAAGTGATGAGTTTTACCTTCCTGGTGCAAGGGCAAAAGACTGTCAGGAACAGAAATGAGCAGACTGGAAGATTAGGCCATGCTTTTAAGGAGGTGCATGGAGGACAGCACAGGAGTCTTCCTCATCAGTTCTCCTGCTGCAGTAAGACTATGTTTTTCTGCTGCCAGGAAAGAGAGGATGTAGGATTAAACCCTGGAAGAAAAATCAGAAAATGCTGAGTGAGTAGAGCCGTACCCTTTTTTTTTCTTTTTGCCTTGTGGGCATACCCACAGAGTTCTGAGGGCTTTCCTTCCCTTCCCTTACAGGGGAGTGGTCAGTGAGTCTGGACCAGGGTCTTGGCCATCCCTGCCTGGTTCTAGATTGTAAGGACAGTCAGAGTTTTCAGTCCAGGGGATGTGTGGGGATGTGTAGCAATTCCTTTGTGATCAATGGCTATTAGTTCTACCTTCTCCTGTCACACAAAAGGAGGCACAGCCTCCTTTTGTGTGATAGGAGAAGGTAGAACTAATCATATCTCCGGCTAGAGATGTGAAAGACCAGCAGCTGTGCCAGTTATTGCTATATTTTTGCTCCACTTTCACTGTTGTCTCTTTAGGGCTGCCAAAATCCAGTCTTAGAGCTGTGCTGGGCATTTCCAGGACTTTGTGACTTTCTCTCTGTATACTGCACCTGCACCTACCTGATGGGCATAGATCTACCTGCCAGATTTCAGAGATGTCTTGTACACATTTGACTGCCTCACACTAACACATAGGGCTCAAGTACCGTGCACTATGTCCTCCATCCTCACTTTCCAACTGAAGACTTCAGGGTACCTTGAATGGGAGCACCCCACTCCTCCCCTCAAAATGCAGATGACACATCTCCAACTTCTTCCTTGCCTACCACCAGGCAAAACTATAAAATATCTTTCTTTATGGGTCCCTGGCTCCCTTCTGGTTCCCAGGCTGTTCTGGAGAGAACTGTTTTCTGTTTAACAGCTGTTCTATACAGCAGTTTCCTGACATCTGTTCCTGGCTTTACAGCACAAAAAAACTTGGGAGCATCAATGCTTTTGCTAATCATTGGCTAGGATCTTCAGTCAGATATTATCAGGTTGTTTCCAAGTTTAACCCTGTGACTAATTTTCCAAGGATATGTGAAAAATCTTAGCTAAAGCCATTTTAAATGGACAATGTCAGGCCTTTGAAGCCTGGTGGCATCAAAATACATAGAGTTTAATGAAGTTATTTACTCACTCATGGCAGTAATTAAACCAACAATATCAACACTGCTGTGTTTCTGTAACATGGGACATGTAACAACTCCCATGAAACCTGGTTTGCTCTGCTTCTGCCTGCTTGTTGACTCTCCTCTCTATGAATAAGTGCAATAGAGACCTTTAAATTCATCTCACCCTTGGGACTATTCTTCTAATCTAGATACGTAATTAATTTTGTCATGAAAAGCCATACCTCTTGAAGCAATTCCAGCGTTGTTTTCAGGAAGGCCTTAGAACCTCCTTATTGTAGACAAGCTTTTTGCTCCCAAAGGAGTAGGATTTGGTATTAAGGAACACAGGCAGAACAAAACTTGCTTTGGAGCTTTGATTGATTTCTTTACTTAACCTTCAGGCTGCAGGAGGGAGGGCCGGGGGCTGCAAGAGGCTGCAGTCCGGGGCAGTGTGATGTGCTCTCCCACATTGCACCATTATGTCAGCCAACAGTAATGCTCCCTGGTATTTTGCCACTGAAGCCTTCAAATGTCATTACCCCTTGGGCAATTCTGCTTTACACTCCAGCGCATCAACCTCACTTCTGGCATGAGGAAGCTGTACTGCCACTTAGGAGATGTGGCTTCAAGCCTCAGTTCTGGCTTTCAAGATCTTGGTTTCTTTCCTGTACGGCAGATTAAAATTTAGCATTCAAAGAGGCTTTAGTGTACTTTACAGGAACTGGAAGAAGTGGTCTTGAGTGCTAAGAAGAGTAATGAGAAATATGCCTAGCCACCTGGGAGCAGTAGTGGTGCAAAGGTGGGGAACTGGTGACACTTTTTGGAGGGATGCAGAGGCACCAAGAGGACAGCAACTCCTCCAGCACTTCTGCTGGTACCATGGAAGGCCTAGGACTGGGAATGCTGGTGTTCAGTGGATGTTGTCAGCTCAACTTCTCACTGTCCTGGCAGCAAGCACAAAGGTCTTCTTACTGTGAGGCCCTGGACTCCTTTTCAGGGACAAAACCCGAACAGTTTTCACCTTCTGTGTGTTCAGGGCCTGCCCTCACAGGAGAGAAGGGAATTGAGCAGATACACAGCTCAAATGCTCCAGTGCAGCAAACCAGAGAAGAGGGTGTTCAGATGTGATGCAGTGCTTCTCAAATGTAGCTCTTGAGGCATAGCCAAGGAATAATATTATGTGCTCCTTGTATTTCCCCCCCTGTAACCAAGTCCTCCTTTTGCTTGCAGCTCAGTATTTCGCTAGCATCATGGTCATCGTTGGTCTGTCTGTGGTGGTAACAGTGCTGGTTCTGCAGTTTCACCATCATGACCCCCAAGCAGGAAAGATGCCCAAATGGGTAAGCAGCTTTGGTGAGAAACATTCAGGAGGTTACTACTGAAAGAAAAGAAAATTGTCTAAAAGCTACAATAAACTTGTTAACTTGTTATAGATGAGAGGCAGAAGTAGTTTTCCATTAATTTGAAGAGTCAGTTACAAACAGCATAGTTGATGCTTTTGTTTGCAATTAAAGGGAAAGAGCAAGCATACTAAATGTGCTTTTCCACTAAAGCCAGTTTCTCCTATTCTCCATTAAAAATAGTTCCTCCTATTTGGCCTTTGTTTTCAATATTATGATGGAGTGGTTGAGTCATTGCAAAGTTATCTCATTCACCACCCAAGTGACAGAATGTGCTAAACAAGCACTAGTCTCTACTGGGCAGTTTGTCTGCAGCCATTTGATCTATTCCCAGTGCATTAGCATGTGAACCCTCTTTTCTCTGCAGCAGCAGACTTTGTCAGCCCAGAGAGGTCTGGCACCAATGCCAGCTGGCTTTCAAATGGAATGTTTCCTTTAGATTTTCAAGTTAAAAGAAAATTATGTTCTATCTATTTAAAAGATTTTAAAATAGGCAAGATATGCTTGTGTTCAGAGAATGAAAAAGGACAAAAGCAGAAGCAGATAGTCACAGTCAACTATCTACCACCCTGTTTGTAGGAGACTGGTTGTACAACATCCTCTGATATCTTGTTCACCACATTTTTCATGCTACACAATTATCCTGACATTTCCCAATTATTTCCCAAAGTGCTGTATGATTAAAAAACCTCTTACTTTCAAGGCAGCAGAGAATGTGCATTCTGGATGAACCAGCTTGTAGGCAAAACCTGAGGGTACATATATGGGAAACATTTTTCAGATATCGTCATGGACAGATTTTGCAGCAGTGTAACAGAACCCATTTTATTGCTTTTTGACTAGCCCAGACATAATGCCTCATGTTAGTCCACCTCACAGGCCCTGCAAGTCAGCTCTTGCTCTCTACCAGTCTCATGTTTTCTTGTCTGGAAACACAAATTCTCCTTCAGGAGAAACCTTGTTCAGTGGCCTGACAGCTGAACTGACATACATTACACAACATGCCATCAGGAAGCAAAAACTGAGGAAAGCATAACTGGGAGGTGCAGATGATAGACTGCAAAAGGTGCAGACCAGACAAGTTTACAGGGCTGAGAGATCTCAGGAGGAAAAATGTGAATGCCAAGTGTGTAGGGAAGAGGCTGACCCCATAAAAGTAAGCACTTATACTCTACAAGCCATAGCCAAGGCTCAGTTGTTAGAATTTGTGTTAGTCTCTATTATTTTTGTTGCTGTTTTGGGGTTTTTCTTGTTGTGTTTTTTTTTTTTTTAAGTTTTGCCTGTCCACCTATATCAGGTGTTTCTTACAGACACCTCGAATGACTTTTGCTCAGTAAAAAAAAAAAAAAAAACAAAAACCTGAAGTGAAGAAGTAGCTTAAGAAAGAAGAAAATTTGTTGCATTACATTTTTCTGCATTACCAGTACCAGCTGCTGCGCTTACCATTTACTTATTCCCACAATGTTCTCTTCATGTCAGAGCCAGGCATAACTTATTACAAGCTCTAGCCCTGATTAATTGGATAGTGTTACAGGATTGTTCTCACCTCCTGCTTAAATGGATTTGTCTGCTGGAGTCAGTTGCAGGGAGAGGCATTGGACAGTTTGGCATGTGTGGGAGCTTCTGCAGACCCAGAAGATTTGAATGGATGCATTTCCTAAACACAGCTGCTTTCTAAACCATTTACAGTTGAGCAGATTTTTCCCTGCCTGTCTCTCAAGGGGTCTGTGCTTGCACTTTGCAATAGAAGAGGGAGGAGAGGGCCTGTTAGTGTTTATCCTCTCTGTAGGTGTTCATTTTCCTTATACCATTGCTTAGAATTGTGTCTTCCTTTCTATTAATCTTTGATGACTTGCAAACCAGCTTTTTCCAAGAGAGGAATTTAAATCCAAGGTGTTCAGTCAGGGCATTTGTTGGCTACTCAGTTGAGAAATGAGAGCTGCTGGCTGATGGACACTTTTGATAATGTCTGCTGAGATAGCATGGAAAAAAATGCTAAAGAAGGCCCAGCTAAGGAGCTGTTTGGGAGTGGATAACATCAGGTATGGACTACAGCTCAACTGACCTTTCTCCACTGACAGCCAAGACTGTTTCATGGTAAAGAGATATAGAGAGACCAAGCACTGAGGGAAGAAGGGTTTTTGTGGGAAAAGGCAAGAGAACTCTGGCTCTTTGCTGTGCTTAAAGCAGGTTTGTTGTGTTTCAGGCTTCTCTGTTGATATGGTTCAAACTCAGACATGCACAGTTCTCCTAGGTGCAGATGTCCCTTATCAAGAGAGCTTTAACTGGAGACTGTCTGCTCTGGGCTAGGCCAGGCTGGTGGCTGTGATGGAAGCTAGGAGTACAGCTGTTTTATAGATAGGAGAGGCTCACAGAGGGGTTGTTGACCTCTAAAGACAGCTGTACCTGTGTACTTCCTTCATAGAATTCTATATACGACAATGCAGGTGAAAGTGTAGATTCATATTTTCATACAGCTGTAATCCAAAAACCTGTATGCTACAGCTGTCTCTTGAAGTAATTGTTATGACAAGAACAGATTGATGCCTGAGTGTCTGTGTTTTCAAGGAAATAGGGCATTTGAAATCCAAGCTAATTAAAAGCTGTGTTACTGTCTTCTGGGTACTTATTTTTCTATGGGAAATGGGTTTGACTGTAGTTATAAAAGTAATTTCCCTAAGGAATAAAAACTCTGTCTTGAAGGAAAAAGCAGCATTCCAATATAAAAGTGCTTTTTCACCTCATGTATCCTTTCACAGCTAAGGCAGATGTATTAACATTTTCTAATAAGAAAGTTTGTCTGACTAAGTGTTTTGGAATTTCACACTCCTGTAGAATTAACTTCTCTCTCCCCTTTGCAAATGACACTGTTGACACATTGCTAGAAATTAAGACCTTTATTTTGTTCCATGTTTTCCCATTTTGTGTCCATGAGCAGTCTGAGCACATTATAATTAAGTTCAATTAAAGGTAGAATCTGTTTTTCAGGCTGCAACATTATGGGTAGCTATTTGTTTGTAGTGACTGTGGAGAAAAATAATGAAATATTTAAAGTAAAATAATATGAATAATGGAAAACAGTCTTGCAGGACTTTCATAGTTTAAATCTAGCTGGCATTTAAGTACCAGACAGCCAGTTGCTGACATCCCAGCTCCCTTCCCTAGTGATGGTGAGAATAAAACTCCAACACTTTGTGGGTTGAGAGAAGAACAGTTTAATAATTGAAACAGAATACAATATAATAATATGAATAATATTAATTATAATAATGAGTAACAATAATAAAAATAATAACTGCAATGATGAGAGAGAGTAATAAAACGCAAGAGAAACAAGTGATGCACTATACAATTGCTCACCACCTGCTGACTGATGCACAGCCTGTTTTTGAGAAGCAATTGACAGCCTCCAACCAACTCCCCACACTTTATATCCTTTTGGAAGATCCCTCTGTCTAGTTCAGGTGAGCTGTCCTGGCTATGCTTCCTCATGGCACTGTGTGCATGTGCTCACTGGTAGAGCACAGGAAATTGAAAAGTCCTTGATTCAGGGTAAGCACTACTTTCCAACAACCAAAACATCAGTATTTTATCAACATTATTCTCATACTGAATCTAAAACACCATGCTGTACCAGCTACTAGGTAAAAAATTAACTCTATTCTAGCCAAAACCATGACAATGATGAAGAACAAAACATTGACTAGAGGCAGAGAAGCAAAGCAGCTCACAGAAAATGTTACAGGACCGTGACATAAAAGAGCTCACTTTGCAGAATTAAAAAATTGTGTAACTATCTTTCACTGGTCATTGGTTTTGGCTATTATTATTATTATTCCTATCTGTGATTACTTAGGCTTCCTCCTTTCTGAAATTATGCTTGTCATTACAGCAGTAGCTCCAAGTGCTAGCTGTAATTTTCCCATTCCTGTATCTGTACTGTGCAAATACAGGAGTCAATTTTTCCTGCATCTGAAACATTTTTGCAGTCAAAATGTGGTCCCAAGTCAAACATGACCAAAGTAAGCAGGATTACACAGGGAGTCCTTGGGAGTCAAGGCTCAAAGGGAAAACCAGAGGCCACATCTGTTTCCTTCTTGATGTCAGATTGTTTGGCTTGCAACCAGGATAATAAAGTCAGCAAAGAGGCCTGTATGCATGGAGGGTCCCTCTCAAGTGCATTGTAAATGCCCTTTTTGAGCGCATAACACCTGGAGGATCTTATAATTACAAGATTTTGCTAATTTAGTTGGCTGCTCTTCACACAAGACATTACTGAATCCACAGCCTTTTTCCTGCCTTATATGTTACCAGTAGGAATTCTAGCAGGCTCAGGCTCAGACCAAACATCTGAAGGTCAGTTCACTGGAAAAAATTTCTGGAAGCACTCTCTGGAGTTAGCTCACTTAATGACCTTGACAAGAAGCATATGAGGCACAATCTGCCATGTGCATGTTAGAGCATCTTGTGATGCACCAGCACACAGGAAAATGACAGCAGTTAATAGCGGCACTTAGATTTTGAACTGCTAAATGTAATAGATTTACTCTTTTGAAAAAAAAAGCCTGCTGTAGTTGAACTCCTCAAAGAAGTATAAAATAGCTTTCAAAAAATCCATGAAAACCCCACCAAGGTCTTTTATTTAGAGGTAAACAATAGCAATAGGGCTGGAAAATGTTCTAGAATCTGTCAGCAAAATCTAAACATTGACACCCAAAAATATTTAACTGTATCTCTTTCCTTACAATCTGAGAAATTTGGTTTGAAAACCACGCAGCCAATTTTGGGCTGTCTGCTCAATTGCAGACATCTCAAAGTCTTTAATAAAGATGAGTCTCCAAGGACCATTTTGTAAAGTAAGATTTTTACATCTCTTTTGCTTTATAAGCAAAGTGGGCATTGAAAATCCCTATGTTCAAGACAGATCCAAAAAAGGGCTATCCTTAGTAGAAGGCTAGACCCTCAAATAACCATTTTGAAAGCAGATAGCTGGAGAACACAGAAATCCATCAGTATTTCTAAGAAACTGTGCAGACTAACTGTAATAGTCACAAAAACTTTCTAAATGATGAAGAGTCTCCTGTATTTCTGCCATGGTAACTCTCTTTCAGGTCCGCGTCGTCCTGCTGAATTGGTGTGCTTGGTTTTTACGAATGAAAAAACCTGGGGAAAACATAAAGCCCCTCTCTTGCAAGTACAGCTATTCCAAGCAGCAGCTGAGCGTGAACAGCATGGAAGTGAGCGTCCTTCCCGGGCACCAGTCCAGCAACGGCAACACCATCTACAGCTACCATGCCATGGAGAGCCCGTGCTGCCCACAGCAGAACGACCTGGGCAGCAAAGGTGGGAAGATGACCTGCCCCTTGGCAGAAGATATTGAGCTTGTGCAAAAGAAAGCTTTAATGGACACTCTTCCAGTGATGGTGAAGATCCTGGAGGAAGTCCAGTTCATAGCGATGCGGTTCAGGAAACAAGATGAGGGTGAAGAGATCTGCAGTGAATGGAAGTTTGCAGCTGCTGTCATAGACAGATTATGTCTGGTTGCATTTACCCTTTTTGCCATCATTTGCACATTTACAATACTCATGTCTGCTCCAAACTTTATAGAAGCTGTTTCAAAGGATTTTGCATAAGGTTTTCAAAGATGAGCATGATAATCAAAAAGTGAATATTGCCAGTAATTTTACTAGATAATTTAACTCAAATAGAGAAGTGTACTTATATGTGCTAACATACACAGAAGGGGATTAAAATAATTTCAGGACATAATTATTCCTGATGTTAGTGATTGTAGTTTCTGAATAGTAAATGTATTGAACTCCGTTACTTATTTCATAGACTAGTGCCACATGTAATTTTGTCATGATCTGTGGTAAGTGATAGACAAGAATTCAATACATTACAATACTATAATATATTTATTACAAGTTAACATTAGTATCAATGTGTTACTTTGAATTTGTGAACTTTTGGATATCGTTAATTTAAATGACCATTGAAGACTATAATTTTTTGCATAATTTTATTGTTTTCAGTATATCTGTGTTTTATAATTATTGTTTGGTGTGGCTGTGACATGCACTTCTCAGATTTGAAAGACGTATCTCCACAGTCTCATGATGCTGTATATTGTATTTATGAGAATAAACCATCATCATATTAGCTCAAGCTAGCACAACGACTACAATGCTTTCTTGGTAAATTTGTTAAGACTGTATCTTTCCCAGAAAATCACTTCGGGTTATTTTTTAAAATTTAAATTAGGAAATATTGTTTTTGACATTGGAAAGAAATGTCTTTCTCCTTGTTGACAATCATCTATGTAATTTACAATGCTTACTTAACTGTTTCTGTCATCTGGAAAGTCTACTTGGTTTAAAATATCACTGCTTTCTTGGAACACAGTTGCCGACCTAACACTAACTAACTCTGTGCAATTAAGGCAGAATCTTGTGGCTCCATAATATCTAGGAAATGGTCGACAGATTTAATTTGGCTCAGATTTCCTATCCAGTCTATACCACTGAAGTAGTATTTTTTTGAAAATTCTATTAGTACAGTTTCCTTTCTATGTGGTCACTAGGCTTTGTTAAAAGGAGTGTATAAAAGACAAACTTTATTTTGCTCAATTTTAATGTATCAATGCTTATTATGAAATTTTTGTCCTTAAATATTCTCTAATATAATGTCTATATATTAATAAAACATAATTGAATTATGCCACTTCCTGGAATATGTGGGGAAAAAAGCTCTATTCTTAATATCAGCTTTTTTCTACTCAGTACTGTGGATGGGAGTGACACCTTTTTTGCATGATTTTATTTTCCCTGCTGATCACAGCAGAGCTGCAAAAGAACATGATCTGTTGTAGACACCTTTCCCCTTTGGAGTAACACAGCAGTTTTCTGAATGTTTACTAGAAGAAAATAACAATCTATTTTGTTCTCTGGCTGACTTTCAACTTACTGTTCTTCCAGGGTTAGTAAAAAATTAGGATTTCCCCTATCTGCATGATGGGATCCTTCACGCCATCATCATTAGAGAAAGAATATGATCATGATTTTACTCAACGGGAAGTACTTCCATCTAAAATGGATGGTGAAGCTGGTAGTTCTATGGATTGAATAAGCTACTATTTCTTAAATGAAAAAGTCCCTCAGCTTTTCCACTATGGCCTTTATTAGGTGGTGATACTTGGCTTTAAATGGAGACTTCACTGTTTTGAATGTTAAACCTCTGCAGCAGTAAGATTAGATCACCACCATGGATTTATCATACTTCTTGGAGTTGTGTTCAAAAAAGCACCTAAGGAGGTCAGCCTAAGAAGGCCCTCACTACAGTGACCTGTTTTATATTTCACACAGTTTTCCTGGTTACTTCAGCTCCAGGTGCAGCTCCAAGTGGTTACAATGGTAAAATCCCTTGCTAATTCTATCCATATTTCAGAGAGATCTCTTCTTCTTGAGAGGAGCACTGTGCTCTAAGTAACTCTTTCCAAGACTGCAGAGAAAACTGCCAATACCTGGTGATTTCTCTTGTGCATTTTGCTGCTTCTGCTTACAAAATTGTCCTTGCTGAGGTATAGAATGTAATTCAGGAAGGTTTTTCCTAATAGAAAAACCTCAGTGAAGAGCAGAATCATTCTGGGGGTTTGGGTTAGTTATACCAGTTATACCTCTTCTCTTGGACAGCAGCTGAAATACTAATTTCATTTTTCTCTTAGTTAAAAGTCTAAATATCCCATTATTTCTGCAACTTGTGATAAAGGATGCTAAATGAACTTTAGAGCACTTGTTCAAGGACCACTAATATTTTTGCTTGAAAAGCATTTTTGTAAGTAATTTTCAGTAACAGGATAAAAAAGGCAAAAGCTGATTTTAAAGCACATAGTCAAAATAACTTAGCATCCTCATGCAAAGCATTTCTCCCTTACATTAAATGAGTTGTTGTATAAGAGTATTTTTAACTAGATGCATAGACCTTAAGATCAGAATGAGGATGGAAACTATCTGAAAGCAACAGTGAAAAATTAGTTTAAATAACTTTTTTTCATATGTAAAAGTTGATAGAAATAAAAAAATTCCATTTATAGGCCATGACTTTGTACTGTTAGATTGTCCCTTATAGACATGCCCTAAAACTCAAATTGCAATTTACGACTCTTCACACTGGACTTAAACTACTTGCTGATTACTTTTTCAGATTGCATATGAGGCAGATCCTTTTGCTATCCACTTATCACTTGGCCTCCTGAAAGGCAATAGCATTGCTACGCAAAGTTTGTAGAAAAACCAGTGTAAAATAGCACAGAAAAATGGTTACTGTACATTGAGAATATTGCAGAATAAAGTGTGAACCAATCTAAGATTTTCCTGAGAATTATAGTACACTTAAAAGATTCGGGCATATTAATTCACAGCTCTTTATGGCATCACCAGTTAGTGTCGTGGTGTATTTATTTCCAGGAGAAGGAAAAAATCCCAAATTGATTGCATAAGTTAAATGGCAACAAGAAACTAACCCACAAAATCCAAGCACTTGTAGAAATTTTACACAAGGAATGATGACCTTACTGTCCCCTTATAACACAGAACATGATAGTAAAGGTCATTGTGCACTTTACCTTGCTGAGGAGCACCTTATTTCCCAAAAGGCACAATAGGTTTCTGCAAAAAAGCTATTCAGCATAATAAAACGAGAATCTCTCCTGGTTTATTTATCAAACATAAAGAACAATTCATATAATCAAACATAATCTTTACTTTTGACTCATGAGTTAGCATGTCTAGATACACACATGAAAGTCTGTGGTTTCTTTGGTTTTGGAAGTCAATTTTTGTCTTGCAAGTTTTCTAATTTATCTGCCATAATAAATATTACATAATAAATATTACTGTAATATTTCTATATTACAGTAAGGTTTCATACATCTTTCATTTGAAATTAACTTTTCAGTTTGATGACAATTAAGAAATAGAAGATCATGATCTAAATCCATTATTCTGAATTACCAAGTGCCTAGGAAAAGAGGATGCTATAAATCAGAAGAAAGTTAATGAAGAACAGGACTAATCTGGGATTTTAGACAATAAGAATGTTAAATATTGAGAAATCCCCCAATACTGAGAAATCCCTACAGAAGTAAATAAAGGCAAAATATTTAGGGTTTGAAGGCTGAAATGCCTTCCCTTTTGTGAGGCTCCTCTTGGCAGAATTTGGGACAAAAAATTTAGAACTCCGTTAAACACTTGGTGAGGTTACATCTGGGTTAAGGGATTGGGCTGAGCAATGATCCTCTGGCTGAAAGGCTTTCCAGAATTACATACCCAGTTTGGAATTAGTTGCTAAACAAGGGTTTCTAGGTTTGTTTTTGTTTTTTTTCTTTTCTTGATGACAAAGAGACTAAGGGAGAAAGGACATGCGACATATGAAAATCCAAGTTTCAATGTAGGTAAGAAAGCACATGCTCAGAATGCTGCTCCTTTTCTCTCTTGTTGTATGATCTAGAGAATACAAAGGGCTCTGCACTGGCCACAGTAGAAGAGTGTCTTGAGTTTGTTTGATGCTGCAGCTGCTAAAGTTAACTCTATCACAACTGCTTCCTGACACCACTTTGGATGGTCTTCAGATCTCTGACTCCTTATCAAGTCTGTTAATCACACAAATATTCACACCATTTTTCTCCTGTCCACATATGGGACTAACAGTGGCTGTGTCTCAAGTGCTTTCAAAAGGTGCTTAATCTTAACAGAGAATTCAGTTTCCCTAAGAAATTATTTGCATATTTATTACTCCTTGTTAATATCTAACATATAAATGAACATATAAAAGTCATCTCAATCACTTGAAAACCCCACCTTTCATGTGACAAAGCAAAATGTCAGGATTGTTAGCTGATTAAGTATGAATAAAAAGAATCTTTATGGTGATAATCATGATCATTATTAGCAATCAAAGTACTAATCATGGCACAGTTATTTTAATATTGTGAATACCTTGATCATGTAACAGACACAATTTTGGAAAAGAAAGTTTACGAGTTCTTCAACACATAGAGAATTTATTTTGTGAACAGAAGCCTCTGAGTTGTTACACAGGCTGTCAACACACTGCTCCTATAGATTTTCATTTAATGGAAGGAACTCATGAAGACCTTGCCAAGTAAAACATAGGTTTGACACAGACCAGACGGACTTGTCTGACTGAAGGAAAAAATGTGTTGAACAAAAAACAACAACAACAACAACAACAACAACAACAAAAATCCCAAAAAACAGCCCCAAAACCCAAATAGAATTAGAATGCAGGAAAAAAAATAACTGAATGCAGGAAAAAACATTCATTCATTATGATGGAAAACTCTAGAAAGATATATTATTGAAAAAAAAAGAAAATTCAACAATTTGATTTTCAGAACACATACTTACCTCTTACAGACACTATATCTTGGATTTTTACATCCATTTATGAGAGAAAACAGGGTTTAAATTCCAGACCAATGACAGGAATATGGTACTGTGTCTTTAGGAGTATCCATTTCCTCTACAGAAAATTATTTTTGGTGAAATAATTTGCATGGTTATACAACATATACAACATCCAGAAAGGGGAAGTACACATGACACGGTACAGTGAGTACTAATAAAAATAAATTTAAGGATCATATCTGTGGAACTCTCTGCTTTCAGGCATATGATGTTGCATTCCAAAAATTTTCATTATTAACATTCAATGATAGAACATAAAAATGGGAAGGCATCCTTAGAAATCTCAATATCCTCTAATTGTCTGCCTCCCTCTAGGTTAAAGCTGTACATTCGGCTATTTTTGCAAATAAAGAGGACTGGGAGGTTTTTTACACAGAAATTTCATGTCAAAAAGGAATGGAAAAACTGTGGCTGTGAGTTGTGGTTTAACCCCATTCACCAACCCAGCACCACACACAGCCATTCTCGCCTAATGTCCCACCAGCAGGATGGACTGGGCAGAGAACTGGAAGGGTAAAAGCTGGAAAACTCACAGGTGGAGAATAATTCAGTTGCATAGGGAATGCAGAAACCACACACACAAGCAAAAGCCCCCAAAGAGCTCATTCACCATTTCCCATTGGCAGGCAGGTGTTTTGCATCTCCAGGGCAGCAGGGCACCTTCAGGCCTCACAGGGTCTTGGGAGGACAAATGCCATCACCCCAAATGTCCCCTCCTTCCCCCTTCTTGCACGCAGCATGAAGTACTGAGCAGGATGTCAGAGGGTCTGGAATGTCCCTTTGGTCAGCTTGGGTCTCTCCCCAGCCTCCCACGTACTCCCAGGTTCCTCTCCAGCTGGGCAGTGGGATAAAGCAGAAAAGGTCTTTGCTCCGTGTAAGCCCTGCTCAGAAATAACAAAAACATTTCTAGGTTATCAACCCTGTATTCAGCACAAATCCAAAACACAGCACCTTACCTGACGGACTGAAAAAAATTAACCCTACCCCATCCAAAACCAGCACATGGTGCTGTCATTATCCCAAGGACTTGCAGTCAAAAGCATCCCATAAACCAATAGAATATCCTCAGGACACAGACACTGAAAAGAACATCAAAAAATGAAAACTATCATTAAAATGTCACAGACAAGGAAAGCCAACCAGAAACCCAGAATCCACTCAGCATAAAATATTGAAGTTCATGAAGGAAGAGATAAGGTCAAAGCCACAGAGAACTCCAAAAATAGATGTACCAATATTATCCTGAATTCCATTTTAGTTAGAAGTAATTCTGATTAAAAACTTTCACTATTTTTTATGATCTTATGAGAAAGCATATGATTAGTAGTTAAGAGTGCATTTTTATTTGGGTAGCACTGTCAGTTTGATTGTATAAAGAAAAATTACTGCTAAGAAAAAGTCAAGATTTTTCACTTTATGGTTAGTAGTAGAGTGTTGCATAAGTAACCTTTGCATATCTGTAGAGTCTTTCAGGCTATGAGGACTATCCAAAATTGCAGGTGATAGCTCCCTTTTTCCTTTTATCTAGGGGAAACAAAAGGGAGACATCCTGACATATGAACAATTAGCATCCATGTTCTGGAACTCTGTAGCAAACAAATATATTTCCATTTAGAGCATTGTTTTTTGTTTAGTTGGCTTGGAGGTTTTGTTGTTGCTGTTGTTGTGGGGGTTTTGTTTGGCTGTTTTATTGTTTTTTATTGTTGTTTTGATTTGGTTTTACTTTTCGATTGTTAGTGAGGTTTCTATACCCTGTAAAAATCCCAGTGGAAAAGCAAAAGTGTGGAACAGAAAGACTTTGGTGACTTTTTTGACCATGACACTACCAAGTCAGAGTATTTTACTGAATGTAATTTGCTATTTTAACACTGCATACTTAAACTGTACTTGGAATTCATAGCTAAGTTCAGCCCATCTGAAGCACAATTAAATTATGCATAGTGTGGTGATGACATGTCCTCCTAGTCCAGTGTCCAGCTAAGAGGACCAGCAATTTCCATGACCTGATTGTGCCTTCCTAAATGGAAATTAGTTTCTACAGCTTTGCAGATAACAAGGAAATAAAAGACATATTATATGTTGAGAAGAACTGACAATATAAAACACGTTTATGGTTAATGTGAACATCTCCACATATGACCTGAGTGTTTAAATAATGCATTTTTTCAGCACTCTGAATGCTTAGATACCTTGACTTCATAAAGAAGTCAGAGCTGAAGCAGTGTTTTGCTAGTTCAGAAAGTTTCCAATTATATAATTCTGTGCAATCAATTGTCAAAATCCCATGGCAAAATTATGTGATTCTTACATAGCATAGGCATACAATAATGAGTAGAAGGAAATGGAAGTCACAAAAAAATAATCTTCTGCATTAGTTATTGGGTGCATAAGATTCTGAACAGGAGAAATTGAAGGTTCAGGACTGTGCTAAATACATAATCTCAAGCACCAGTTCAGCTCCAAACATAAAATTTGCCATGCCCTGTTTGTTAAAGTCCCTTGGGATTCTTTGAAGATGTGTCCACTGAACACTACCACTCTAGCAAACCTCTCCACAAAATTCCTGCTGCTGCTGAATTTAAAATGAACATGCCCTGGGATTAAGTGTCCCAGCATACTCTCCACAAACAGATCTAAGGTCAGCAGAAAAGACTGCCAGCGATTCAGGTTCTCAGCAGGAGTTTTTTAAAGGCAAGTAGTGTTTGTGGTAATGAGGAGGACACCTAGAGACTTAGCTCCCTCTAATTGTGTTAAGATGTCCTTAGCCTTAATTGGAATACCGCTGCCAGAAACATTCTAGACCACACACCTGGGAAAATGGCATTAAGCACACAAAATTCAAAGTAGAATGGGAAACAATAGCTCCAGAGAGATCAGACAGATGAAGGGAATGACCCTATCTCAGAGACTGATCCAGTGCAATGACCTGGAAGGCTCATTGGTGCTGACTATCACATATTCCACAAGGACTGTGTTTCAGCATTTTCTCTCAACTGCCCAGAAGTCTCTGTCTTGAAGAATAACAGCAGATTGCAACCAGATGTCCAGGAAGAGAATTGACTTACAGACTTTTCAGTCAGCTGTGTGAGTTTTAGATTTTAATTCCAAATTACCTTCAGAGAAAGGAATACAAAGCAAATTTGGGCCAGCTTTTTCTTTAGTATCTCTGGACATCTCTCCAAGTTAAAGCTGAGAAAGGTCAGGTTCAGTATGTGCCATCTAGAATGGCTATCCTGAGGTGAATCTTGTACAAAGATTCCTGAGGCTTCAGAGGATATGTTGCATTGGCCAACAGAGCAGAAACCTAATTATTTGGAAAACTACTACAGATGTTCTCTACTTCTTCTGACATACTCAAAAAACCCCAGCATTACCTTTTTTGAGAGTTCCCTCTGAATTCTATAAACAAGACTTAACAGCATTGTCACAAAATCAGAATTGGATCACTTGTCTCTTATTCCTAGTTGTTTTTTTTTTAAATGATTGCTTCCACAGGATAATACCATGCTTTGTATTCAACAATATAACAATCTCAGCTTTTGATATTTTGGTATTTGTGGGAGTTTTTCAATAGCAAAAAGCGGCCAGATTTATACCGTGGGTAAGATGGCCAAGTGAAAATATGGGCTTTTGGAAGTGTCCATGACAAGCATCTGCAAAGCACTAAAGATTCCTATGAAATTGTCAGAATTCAGTGGTGAGAGAGAGAAAGAGACGTGTTCATAAGGAGAAGTGTCTTTTCCACAGTTCCTGGGGATGCATGAAGACCATCTGACATAAAGACCAGCTGATCTTCCAAATCTGGATAAGGCAAAAAATAAACCACACATGTGTCCATGCTCTTCTTCCATGGCTGTTAATAGACGAAAACAGAGGCACTGTTTGTGGTTAGACAGCAATAAGAATGTCATTTTAGACAGATTTTGATGTAATAATACTATAGTATAGTAGCTTTTGTCATTCCCATGTAGGCAACAAAAGAGCTTTCCTTTTATCTCATTGACCAACCATCAAAAAATAGTTCCAGCTTTTTGTAGCTCAGGGATCACATTTTCTACCACATTCTAGTAGTCTCTTCCTAGCAAGATAACAATCAGTTCTACTCTCAGACGGGCAGTGGAGTACTTCTCCACTGAGACAGGGTTTTCCAGGTGGCACAACTGAAGTCTGTGTCATGGAGTTCCCTAACAGAAAAATGGGACAAAGGAAACAGGGGGTTTGTGCAGTAGCAGAAACAGCCATTCAGGGTTTAGTCTTTAACACAGGCAGAGTTTTGCCATGGTGTTCACCACTTCTAACAGACAGAAGGCAAATATTTTATTGCCCCTTCACAGAAGTGCAATATATAAATGTCCTTACAATAAGAATCCCTGGTGTGCTCCTAACATTTTCCTTTGCATCAGGAGGAAATCCCAGTCAGAGCCCTCTGGTACCTTGAGGCTGGATATAAAATTGTGGCTGACACCTGGCATAGGAGTATTTATCCATTGCATAGTGAACATTTGAAGTATAGGGCACAACTACTGAATATTTAGCAGTGGTTCACTGTGCTCATAAAACATGGCACCCATCAAAAGAGGGACAAGCACCCTTGTCTAAGTCAGAATTTATTCATAACCAAGCTCAACATCAATATCACTAAGTATCTGTAAAAGTTACCAGGAGTACAGACAAAAGTGTCCTGATATGAAAATCCAGTAAGAAATTATATATGTTTAAAAAGTGATTATCTGGAGTTAAATATTGTCCTAAATGTTCAGAGACATCTCTTAAATCTGTTCTTTCATTCAGTCATTGTTTATAGATGTTCTCTGAGTTTATGAAATATCTCAGAAGTAAGGCTAGTGAACACTAGTGATAGATGTCAGGGAGTTATTCTCTCCACAACATAGAGAGAAACAGAACACATATATTCTTTTCTGACTGCAGTGCAGGAGCTGTGCACTGTTCTGTTTGTACTTAGCACAGAGAAGGGAACTCTGGTAGGATCTGCTGCAGTGACTCATTGTGAAGCTTTAATGGGATGGATCCCTCCTGATGGACAGATCCAGAGCTGCCAGATACAGACTGACTGACCAAAAAACCTCCCCCAAAACTGCACTGCCTATACTCAAAGCAGAATTAGTTAGATCTGGCTTTAGTAAAATGGCTACAACTGTAAAGTTACTTTTGTTTACTGACTAAAAGAACGCTTAAGCTCTCAGTACCAATTAATTTATTCTGAACTGCTCTATTTAAAGAAACATTAGCAGCATATCTTCACTTCTAACCAATAGCATAGATGTAATGAAATACATAGATGTAATGATGGTTTTGTTGCTTGCAAGCAGGTTTGCTAAAGTAGCTTTGAGACTGAGGTCTGGCTACCAGACCATAATCATATTTTTAGTGAAATGTGGATCCCTGCTTTCCTTTATCAAGGGCATCTGGAGGGTGATTGAAAGCTTTGAGTCAGGTGTCTGTATTCACACCTCAGCATCTAAATGCCTGTTGTCATTGTTTTGAGTCAGCTTCAGAACCTTTGCTTTTCACAGACATAAACTAATGGTGCAGGTGCTTCGACCTCCATAAAATATGCCGGGACTCATTCATAGTTGTGTATGGAAACACTCATCTTGCATTTTCAGCAACAACTTATGGACTCTATGCAAACTCACCTTTCTAAAATTAACTTGGAACATTTGGTGATTCACTGCAAAGTACAAGCTAAAGGATTTGTGTAATATGAAGGCAGTAGATTAAACTCTTCCTGCACTTGTTATGTGGACTGGGTGAAAGAACTCTTGGTGTATGATGGGCATATAAGTTGCTAAGACAATAATTTCAAATTGTAAGCAACAGAAAGATCTGTGCAATAGCAGGGTAATACAAAAGTAACTTC